ATCAGGCGTACTTTAAGCCCCCACTACGGACAAAATTCACGACTTGGAAGGTCGTCAACTGAAGAGATAAGTTCGTCGAAAAAGAAGTCTTATTGCCGCCCACGTGAGATTTGAGGTAAGGAGCCTCGGTTCAAACAACTGGAGGATCCGACACGTGTAAAGCACGTGCAGTCGAGGGTTTTGTGTCAAATTAGCCGCCGTGCTTTATCCAGTCTCCAGTTTGCTGGAATTCCTCTTGTCAACGGAACATAGGGAGTCATCGCTGCCTCCACGAAGCGGTGGTGGGGAGAGGAGACTGCTTTAATTTATAATCTGTGTGGTGTCACTGACTGTCAGCAATAAGGCCGTCTGGAGGTTACCGTCTGCTTGTCATTTCATTAGAACATGCTTCAAGAAAAGAGGGCTGCTTATTTCCTTATCTTCCCTTTAAAGCTGACCATTCGGAAGGTTGGAATTAGGGTGGATGCTAAGACTTTCTAGCACTCTCCTCAGAACGATGACTGTGATGAAGACGACATTGATGATGATGATGATGATGATGATGATGATGATGGTGGTGGTGGTGGTGGTGGTGGTGGTGGTGATGATGATGATGATGATGATGATGATGATGATGATGATGATGATGATGATGATGATGATGATGATGATGATGATGATGATGATGATGATGATGATGATGATGATGATGATGATGATGATGGGTTTTAGCTCCAGAACGATCTGAATGCGTAGGACATTGGATGTACTGAAACCGTCTAATGTCCGAGATTCTACATCTTTTACTCATCAAACTGCCATGAAGGGAGGTCAGGCACGAGCTTCCCTTCCGCAAAGTCTTAGTGATCACAGCTGCTGGAGTGTTCCATGCAACTAGCACTTTGAGAGTCATCGGATATCGATGACTGTTTTAAGTTATTTTGCCAGTATACTGCCTGCCCAGTCCCAGACATACACCCACCGTTTCCCGGCATGTGTTCTGTCAAAAGTGTAATTTTGTTATGTTTACTACTTGTACTCATCAGTACACACAATATATAATGTCTTAGTTGCGCATCATATGGCCAGGTAGTTTTAACAGCCCTCCCTTGCATCCTCACTCAGCCTTATACCTTAAGGAGCAGAAGTCATGTGGCATCGGCCATCGTATGGTGAAAATAGCAATCATCAAATAATCATGGAATGTACCTTTGTGCTCTAAATCTCTCCTGTTGGGAACGCCTTGCTCATTAGAGCTGGGATTCACCTCAACGTTGCGATGACGCCTAACCAGGCCACCGGATCACACACAGTCAGAACACTTTTCACGCTGCCTGGTGTTCAGAGGAGCTTGTGCACAGCCCCAAAAGTCGGTCTCCTATCTCCTGTTCGCTGCGTAAAACGCTGAGATAGGACGAGAGCATGATGAAAATAAGTAGTGCTATTGTAATTCGTGGAACCCAGTCACAGTCAGGTCAGGCTGAAGCAAACCCCCAAACCATATGAAAGTTTCTTTTGTTTGCCTTTTAACGTAAAGGAATTATCTCCATCTTTTAGGCCATCCCTCTCAGATTTTCTGAAAGTCGAAAAATCCGAGTGGATGCCTGCTAATCGGGGCGAAGCACAAACTGTCCAGCGAGAGTCCCATCTACTTCGAGCACATTTGCAACAAAAGCACTTTCCCCCTGTAAGGTCCCAGCCTCCGTCCTCCCAGACCGCCTGGCCAGTTTTGCCTCCTCTGGTTGGAACTGCGGCTCCTTCCATAAGGGTTGCACCCAGAGTCAAGAGCACGCACAGAGATAGTAGAAAGTCTGCCCATCCCGTTGAAAGCATTCTGGAGAAATTCCGGCTCCTCGAAACGCCAGTGAGAGAAAAGCATAGAAGTTACTTCAGGGAGCCCGAAAACACCATAGTAATTGCTGCCGGTGGGCTATCAACGGAGCCAACAGTACTGCTCCCCGAACTCTCGACAGAAAGTGCAGTGCAAGGGCTGAGTAATGTTCAGACGCACGACAAAATGACGACACAGGAAGTCGGTCAGACGATCGCTGCCGTGCCTGGCGAGGCCAGTCATGTTCAGCTACTGAGAGACGTCTCAGCTGTCACGGAAAAACAGAGGACGATGAGTTCCGCCGCTGCACCGAGGGCTGGCTACTCCACCCTTGTTCTCGGAGGAGATCTGGCCTTCAAGGAGGGATTTAACGAGCCGCCACATGGGTTTCCCAAACGGCCTCGGCGTCTAACTGGGGACTTCCAGTCCGGTTTTCCTCGGAGGCCTTCAGCCACACAAGGGCACTTGGCAGCCTCCTTCATGTTCGGATTCGCGGCGGCCGATGGATCAGGTCCCGCACTCTACACTGGCGGGCATCTGGATCAGTTCGGTGCGCCCAGAAAGTTGCGGTCTTCCCTCCAGACTTTTCTGCCCGCGGGAGGGCTTTCGCAATCGAGGCTGCCACCGTTGACTGTGGAGAAGACAGGTTCCCCTCTGACGGACTCTCTGTATGTGTCTGCTCAGCTGCAGGTCGTGCCAGTTGCAATTCCAAGTGTGACGGAAAACCTCCCAGAAACAAGCCTCGCTGAAGGGGGAGCTGCCATTGAGCGAGCAAGGGAAGATTTGCCAGAGCAGACGGCAAAGGACGGTAAGCTGAAGGCACACACACTCGGTTGCCCAAGCGTTAGTGTCCATTCTACGCTTAAATTCACTACTTTTGTGCCATTGAGTGGACTACTATATCATATACTGTATATACTAGGCTAGAAGTCGTAGACTGTGAGTGAAGTGAAGTCTGTATCTCTGAGTCGAATAAGTGAGAAAGAGAGAGAGAGGGGAAGGAGTAGCATCAAAACGTAGACCGGCGGTTCATATTACTGGAAAACACCTCTTGAATAGGCAAAGAAATTCCGACTCAAAAAATCGCCGTCCCGCCCACATCGTTTTGCCTTTCGAATGCTCGTTACTGCCAATCGTCCCACTATTCTCATTTGGGGGTGTGAAAGCCGTGAGTGTATACAACACACAAGTGCTACTAAAATAGTATTAGTAGAGTGTTTTCATAATTTTTGCTGCGACGCATGATAAGGCGACTGCGCGGATAAAGCAAGTCTTCAGGTCAGTCGGAGATAAATTCATTTGTCTAATTTGCCTTCATTTTCACCCATCAGACTTGGGAGCTCTTGGACAACGCATCAGCACCTTTGAAAGGAGTCTGTCAGAAAATGCGAGATTTCGCAGCTTGAGCATAGAATTATCACTGACGGGGAATCAACTGGAAAACATAAATGCCTCGTATTTTGGTCAAACGACAACCGCAGTTTTCCCGCCACTAAAAGCATCTGAGTCGGTGGAGGACGCCCTATCCACCGATGCTGCCCGAGAAAGACTCGCCTTTATAAACAGACTCAAAAACCACCATGTGAATATTAACCTCGAGAACTCAGCTATACCAACTTGGAAAGTGACACCAGGGGACTTTGATGATGCCGTTTCGGTCGTGTCGGAGCTAGGAGACAAATGGCAACGGGTGGTCTTCCGTATGTTCTTACCAGTCTTCAACAATCTTACGTCTGTCTTTGCCGATCATAAGTCGGTTTCTCTGAGAACGGTGGACAAATTTTTTCAATTATTTGCAAACATAAGTGATGACATGCAGACTCAACGCACATTAACGAGGGCCAAGACGTTCAGTTAACCACCCGAAAACAAGTGTATCACTGTGACGAGATTACTTACTGTATACATTTTCGGTATGAAGTGGGACGTTAAAGACGTCGATTGAGGTGTCTAAGTGTGTCCTCGAGTATAAACTATTGCTTATGCAAGGTTGCAGTAATGGCTGGCATGGAAAACAGCCCTGCGCGAATTGGTTCAGGGCACGTTACACCTTGTAGACTGAGAAAATGTCTAGTTAAGGTACCAATCGCTATTCCTACTGTCAGAAGGAAGATCTATTTTGCTCTACGAAGTCCATCAGATAGGTTCACGCCCATTTCACCGATGCAGCCCATTTATCTGCCCTGATAAAAGTGGTTCAGTGGGGAGTCACAGTTCATAAATATGGCCTTATGTCGCTGATACTGATGACGATAGTGATGATAAAGAGGGTGGCGATGTTGATGGTCACTTATATTATTATTATTATTAGTATTTTTATTTTTATGACTTCTCCTGTAGGGGTTCGCACTTCATTACGCATAAAGATTTTTGCGACTCTACTATCTGGCGAAGGCAGTCGTCGGCCAGTCATACCCAACCCCGAAGTGTGGCACACCGAGGCTCGAACTCGCCACCTGTTTGTTAAAAGTTCACGCCTCTAACCACTGCGCCACGCACTTGTTGTCCCGTCGGGTTCGATCGGGAATATACAATGGTAGGGGGCGCTCACCGGTCGTTTCTACGGAGCTCACTCTGGCTGACGATGGCTAATAAGTCAGAAATGGCCATTTCAGTCTCCCTTGTCTTTGTCGGTAATAATATATATGTGTGTGTGAATCCCCTTTGTGTAAAATCTTAGTTGTGTTCTGTTAAGGGCAGGTTGTGCAGGTTGGGCAAAAGGCAGGAATACTTTTCATTTCTTTGGAAAAAAACCACAGACTGGGGTATCTTTGGATTTCATTTCTGCATTACGACATATAGAATCAAGACTCGGACGTAGCTAGAAGTCTCAGTGACCAGTGGGGTCGCCTAGATTACGGAAACGCATCTGTTGGCGAAATAACAGTAGAGACAACAATCGAAAGCCGACAGGGCAACGGGCTCGTGGCTCAGTGGTTAGAGGCGTTGACTTCTGACAAACAGGTCGCGAGTTCGAGACTCGGGTGTTTCACAATTCGGGCTTGGGTATGACTGGCTGACGACGGCTAATAAGCCAGAAATGGCCATTCCAGTCTCCCTTGTCTTTGTCAGTAATGCCATTCTGCCTTTATCATGCGCCATCAATTTGACAAGCAGCCACACAGTGATCCGAGTAGGCCAATAAGGCCCTTGTTCCAGCGATAGCTTCTTCTTATCAACTACTTCCTGGAACTCGCATCCTGGCTTGTATCGGCTATTTGTTCGCCGTCCGTTCCTCTAAGAGACCTGTGAGTAGTAATGCCAACAAGACGTATAAACCTCAACGTACAGCTCACGACACGTCTTTTGGCATGGTTATAACATCTTTTGGGCACCATCGGTCCCCTTAGATCACAGGAGAAAACTCATTCTCAGTCATTTCGGTTTTATCTGTTTTGCCTCTCTGCTAAGTCAACAGTCTGTGAATAAGGAGTTAATTTAACGCAGAAAATTTCTTTAGAGACAGAGTAATATCAAAAATTAGAAAAGATGAGATATACATTATACAGGCTAGTATTTCCAATTAAGCAGTTTTGAGCCTCCTGCTATATACAGCAAAACCCAAACGCAACCAACAGGACAATGATCAGTAGCTGAATTGGTAAAGCGTTGGACTAAATAACTATAGATGTCGAGTACTGGTTTCTGAAATATGATTTTTAGATGTCTTTGCAGATGTTGAATAATTCATCTTGACCCCGTTGTGAAAACTCGGCGTCTCGGTGGTATTCAAACCCAAGACAGTAAGGGTAAGGCCTTAGTACAGCTAACGCTCTAGCCACCTGAGCCAAGAGGTCCCACAGGGTGACGTGAGTTTTATCCCATTTGGGTTGTGTTCCCCGCTCAACCTCCTACGACGTCTGGAATACACCAAACCTGATACAGTAAGCAGGATGTCCTA